TTCTAAAAATGTGGTGATTTGACATTGGAGTGATCCAGGCCTTGAAAATTAAAAAATAAAATTGTCCACATATTTTAGTTAGTGAGTTATAATCATACTACCATCTGGAAACGCCTTGTTCTGTTTGTACAGGACAATCTACTGATATCTTTGTTTTTGTGCTACAACTTTTTTTGTGATCATACTTGCTCCAGGATAAAAGTTGAATGTAAATATGATTTTAATTTTTGTGACTCAGAATTTCCTGGTAAAATGTGTTCTACATGCTTTTTTTGCAGTAATGTATAAATTGTGTAATTCAACAATATACCATATGTATGTATATATATTCTCAATGTAAAGTCTTAGTGAGTAAAGTCTTATCTTTAAAAGGTTATGAGATAATTATGTATATAATACATGAAGCTACAATATCACAGCATTCATATAAACACTCAAATTTTCTATCATAAAACTTTGATGCAAATTGAAGACAGCTGAGCTGAAGGCATAGTTCATCTCAGAGGAATGACTCGGTTATAACATTTTACTTTAGGTATAAAAATTCAACCCTTTCCATACTCTTATTATAAAGGGTAATATTTTCTATACAAGCCAAAACTGCTTTTCTTTATAACAGGCTGTAAGTGTATCAAAGCAGCTCATTTAATATGTGAATTTATGCAGATTCTCTCTCTCCTATAGCCAGCATCAGTCTGACACGCTTCCTATAATGGATTCATTTTTCAGCTGCAACTGAATTTTTGTCATCCAACTATAAACTGAAACCTGTCCTTCCCAGTATGTTAAATTCTTCCTTTAATTAACAGCAGCAAATAATTGTTAGTCATAGCTCCCAGTTGTACTGAAAACATATGGAGAGCTATAATATAATCTCAAGGCAACAGTTATACCGTGTTTGTGTCTGTGCATTGTAAGAGTTGCGAAAGACATCATGGTATGTTTCTAATTATAATATTCACTCTGCAATGCTCTTGCAACCTTCATGGGACATTCAGCTGCACCGTGCACAAGAATATTCCCCACACCAAAGAGGATTAATAAAACAAAGGTCAAATAAATGTTTTAAAATGTGCAGATGCTGCACGGGGAGTGAGAAAAGTCTTTTTTATGGTCTGACTGGAGTGCCGTTCATGATGAAGTGATTATATCTATTAATATTAACTGACTAATGACTGTCCTCATTTCATTCTTACCCAAAAGAAGCTCATTGCATTAATGTGTCTCCCAAGGTAGATCGCCAGGGGAAGGTTTTTATGGGCCACATCTGCCTACCTTGATAGTGTGAGAGTTAAAAGAGCCCCTGCAGCAGAGAGATTCTGAGGGAGGTGTTAATCGATGTGTGCACTTGAATAGGGAGAACTCCTCTAATAAAGGTAATTCCTACACTGAGCTTTCTAAGGAACATGGTTTCTCATGATAACCCTCCCTTATAATAATAAAGTTGCCTATCTATGGCCAATTATCTTTTTTTTGTAGAATTTTTAAGTGAAGAGAAGTAAAATCTTCACTGTAAGATTCAATGTAAAATCTGGAGCAGATAGAAAAAGTGAGGCATTTTCCAAATGTTAATTCACTGTTAATTTCTATTTCATGAATTCGAAAACAGGAATTTCTACTAAGTCTGAGACGTTGAATAAATGTTTAGGTCTTAAATTAGTTATTAGAAAGCTTTGACCAAATATTTCAAAAAAGAACAGGACAGAAAAAGCAGAATTTTAATTCCTGAAAACAAACATTTTCCACTTCACTCTGTAATTTAGTGGATTTCTTGTATGCATAGCAGAACATATACTCTCACTAGCCACTTTATTAGGTTCACCTTGCTAGTGCCAGATTGGGGCATCTTTTGTTTTTTCAGAGTGACTTTAATTCTTCATGGTGCAGATTTAACACGGTGCTGGAAAACATTCCTCAGAGATTTTGGTCCACGTTGACATGATGACATCACACAGCTGCTGCAAATTTGTCAGCTGCACAGCCGTGATGCAAATGTCCTGTTCCCCCACATCCCAAAGGTGCTCTATTGGATTTAGATCTGGTGACTGTTGAGGTCGTTTGAGCACAGTAAACTCATTGTCATGTTCAAGAAACCAGTTTGAGATTATTTGAGCTTTTGATTTGTGACATGGCGTGTTATCTGCTGGAAGAAGCCTGGCCATTCTGACATCAACAGAGCAACTGGCTATTTCGCCTTCTTCTAAACATTCCCTGTAAACTGTAGAGACGTTTGTGCAAAAAAAAAAAAAATCTCAGCAAATCAGCAGTTTCTGAAACACTCAGACCAGGCAGCAAGAACCGTGCCATGTTCAAAGTCACTTACATCACCGTTTCCCTCTTCTGAAGCTCCGTTTGAACATCAGCAGGTCATCTTGATCCTGTCTACATGCCTAAATGATTTAGGCTGTACAGATGTACCCAATGAGGTGACTGGTGAGTGTGTATATGTAATCACAAACCATTTTTTTTTGCATATGGTTTGTGATTGGAAGGCTAAATCTACTCTTATCCTACACAATGATGATGAGAGAGGTCCCACTCTAATCTTTGTTTCCTGCGGATGTTCATTCTCCTCATTCTCTTATGGATCGGATTTAGACCCAGACAAGTTTTGATGGATTTTATTTGCCTTTTCCAATCAAGAAAATTCAGTCGGCTTACAGTTTCTCTTTGGAATCTTTAAACCACATGGAGGGTTAGTTCACAAGCTGATGGCTTTCACAAGGCCTGCCAGTCTGATAAAAATGGGCTTTTAGGGAGGGTTTTAAGGCACTTTAAGGAATCCAGAGATCATATCAGTTGTTTCAACATTAGGCAAAATATAAAATAAAATAACATACAGAATTTTATTGAAGTACAAATTGTGAAAAGCTACTATAATGAAGTCGCAGAATAAACATATAGAGCTGGAAATTAGATTAAGGCCCATAAGTATTTAGAAGTGCAAAGCTTTTGTACCCCTGCATACTCTGCACAGAGCATTATAAATCACACAATAGAGGTATGACTGAAGTGTGGAATTTCTGCTTTAATTTGCAGACTTTAACAAAAGTATTGGATTTACTGTTAAGGAATTACAGCCATTTTTATGCACACAACTTTTGACTGACAAGCAGTTTCATTACCCCATGAGGTCTGCTTCCTTGTTAATTCACAACAAATTGAACAGGTAAAAAAAAAATAAATTGTTCATTCAACACCTGATTTCAGGTGTTGAATGAACATTTGATACCTGTTTTCTGATTAAGAGGTTTAAAGTAATGTCAGTGTAAGTGAATAGGTGCATTTAACCAAAGCCACATTACTACCGAGGCTGAATGATAGCCATTGGTGGTGATATTTCTGCCATGCCCAGAAACATCACCCTAACTGTAGCTTAATCTGACTCACTGATGTGAATCAGTGCATAATCAGATTAGTTTTTGGGCATTCCTATCTATTTAGAATTGTGGGATATAATATGGAAATCCCTGAATTATTTTAAAAACCACCATAATCTGATTGAACTGTTGCTTCCAGAAAACCCCCCCCCCACCAACTTAAAATTTTTTTTGGATGAGAATGTGCAGTTATGTGTAGGATACGTGGACTCCCCTGCACACCTCTCTCTCTTCTCCTCTGTGGTTTGTAAAGTCTCTCTATCTGACAGATCTTATAATCCCCCTTTGGTCCTTTGGGAAATCAGATCATAACGTTCTCACCCTGTTTGCTGCAATAATCCTAAAAGTCTTTGGGGGGAGAGAAGTCCCTGCTTTCAGCATTATTATAGATTTATAGAGAACACATTTAAAGTTTTTTAGATTTTGTCCTGGTTTATAATTACATCTACACAACTCTTATACAAGAGCATGCATTCAAGTCAAAGAACATGAGAGAATTAGGCCAGATAAAAAAAGAAAGTTAAAAAAAAAGTAAAGGTAGAGATAGTCTGGAGTATTCCACTAAACCGAGTCAAAGCTGTGTGTTTGCCAGAATTTGATCTGCACTGAAAATAGATACAGAATAAAAAAAATGAATGCAGGACCAGAACTAAATCTTATTGTTGTAAAACAACATTTTGAGTTAAAATGAAACATTGCAGGCTTACTAAGGTTTAAAATTACTTTGATTAAACAATCATTCAGAGAAACTAAAAGAAAAATAACCTTTGCCAATGCCAGTGTCCGTTCAAAGGCCGTTCAAAGTAAATAATTCAGACGTGCGTTTATGTAACAGTTTTGATTTACATTTGTACACGGGACAAGAGCCAGAAATAGCTCCAGGGTTGAAAAAAAAAACACTTGGAGGGGGAGAGAAAACAATTGGGGAAGTGCAAGAAGAGGACACACAATGCTTTATTAATAAGAAGAAACGGTTCCAACAGACGGCCACAAGTGGCCGGTGCAGCTGTGTCGGTGCATCTTTCCTGCCAGTTTTCATTCGTTCTGTTGTGTGAGGCAGTTGAATTATTAGTGCGAGGTGTCAGAAAACCTTCCAGCCCACTCTCACAGTGTCCCTCTAACCTCTAAGAATAGACCAGGATGAGACGGACCCGGAGGGAAGCAGCAGAGTTTTTGTCTGTCCTGGTCAGAAAATGAACCTGATACAGGCACAAGAACGACGGCATCTAGTGGCTGATGTCAGATATTACACCCGCTAATTTATGTTAAAGAGTTTGAGCTAAGGATAAACACTTAAATGTGGACTTTAGGAGGATTACAAATCATTTTATTATAATTAAACAAAATGGAAAAGTGAAACAACAGGAATTTTCCACAGTCAATAACCTTAACATTTCAGGACAGTCAAGGTCAGTCAACATCCAGTATCAATAAAAAGGACATTAATGATTTATGAACACTGGTAAACAATAACTTGTTGTTTACCAGCAAAGTAAACAACAAGTTATTTAAGAGCAAAGTTTGCTCTTAAACTTTGACATTAAGAGCAAAGTTTATGAATTTAAACTTTGCTCTTAATGTCACATGACAGATGTAACAGCTCTATATATTCTTCTGTTACGTGAATAAAAGCCTTATTCCAACTTCCTTATTTCGACCCAGGACAGGATCTACATGGTAGGGATACAAATAGCAATTTTTTTTTTTTTGGTTTAAAACTTCGGGTGTACTAGTTTTTAAAATCTTGAAAATATTTTTATTTATACAGAGTATTGATAAGCAGTTTATAACTGCTTATCCTCACTTTCATTTTTAAATTAATCCAAATCTGCACAAAAATGTAATAGGTTCTCTTTCTGTCCTTACTCCTCTCACACATTTATGATAAAGTTCCGGTTTGCATTTTATTGTGAAATCTTGCTGACAGACACATCAGTGCTGTGTTGGTCTACAGATAAGATTCATACCTGTTTTGTAGTCATTTGAGTTGTTTGTTTTTCTTGATCAAAAACCTGGAATATATAGAAGAAAAAGGGAGATATGGAAATATTTTACAAATCACTTCTTTTTCAGTACCTGAAAACAGCTTCATTATTGCCAAGACAGCTCCTTCAAGAAGAAACACAGTAAAAACACACACATGCATACTCATATTCTGAAAGGTGTGAGAGAACATTGAGCAGTTTGATTGTTTAAATTGTGTTGTTTTGTTTCCCCTCTCAGAGATGTTACACAACATATTTTTGCTTTTTGTGGGTCTGCTGTCATTGGAACATGTGTCCTTTGCACAGGTTCCTTCTTCACAAATAGGTAATTCAAAAATGTGTGAACTATGTCTATTAGCCTTACAGCCTGATACAACACATATATGTGCTTATAGCCATGCACTTTGTGTACTTTCCCTTCCTGCTGTCAAAATGTAATTTTTTTTAACTTGCTTTAATTTTTAGTAAATATCAAAGAAACAAGAGAGTATGCTGAGAGGAAGCAGAACTTTACCAGGACAAATTTTGAGCACTTGGAGAAAGTGAGGAACAGATCCATTTGTGTTGCAAGGAGCTGTAAAGACCTCAGGGACAGATATGATGAACGAGAAGGTAAGGACAAGATTCATAAATGTAACATAACAGTCAAGGCATTTATGTCCTCTTAAGACTGAATTATGTTATCTTAATGCTATAACATTTCCAGATGGAGTATACTACCTGACAACAGGCAATGGCATGCTGTACCAGACTTACTGTGACATGACCACAGCTGGAGGCGGATGGACGCTGGTGGCGAGCGTCCATGAAAACAGCATTTATGGAAGGTGCACTGTGGGTGATCGCTGGTCCAGCCAGCAGGGCAACAATGCTGACCTGCCGGATGGAGACGGGAACTGGTCCAACAGAAACACCTTTGGAACAGTAGAGAGCGCCACTTCTGATGACTTTAAGGTAAAATAACAAATCACCAGTGGTGGAAAGAGACTGTTACGGATTCAAATATTGGGGATGGATACAGGAGGAAAACCAAAATAACAACACTGGTCCGGCCGGGTCAAGTCAAACGAAGATTTAATGAACACACGCGTGGGAGATGGACACCATACAGCAGACAGCATCAGATCTCAAAATGGTGGAGCATTGATCAAACTCTTATAGCCTCTAGTGGCCCCCTCCTAATCATCAGAGCCTAAACATTCACATTCTTTCTCACACACAGCGCCTAAGCTACGACCTTGGCTCCCTGTTTATCTGCTCCTGCTGAGATGGGGCAGTATGCTCTGTTCTCTTCCAATCAGACAAATAAGGCGATGACTTTCTGGAACCGTATTTCTTATAACTCAGCAGTATAATGCATCATAAAACAATATCATTCATTCACAATAAATCAGCAGTCTAATGTAATACAAATCAGTTTAACAAATGTAATAGTTATCACCTTCTTCTAATTCAGGAGAATAATGCAAACCAAAGCTACATAATAATTCACAATCTTTAATTAGGGGTCTAACATGGCATAAAATAATATTATAATACAACAAGACATTAACACTACTTCACTTTTTTTGGAGGTTGGTTAAGTAATTCCATTTATTACTTTCTACTTCTTTTTAGCTCATATTTTATTCCACTGCATTTAACTGATTGTAATATTATTTCACATCAGCATTACATATAAAAAGGCATAGTAAGATAATAAATTTAGTTCTGTTTCTATTGGATTTACCAGAACCTAGATGTAAAGAAGATAAAGAGTCAGTAAAACTTTTGTGATTTGTGCACCTTTACTGTACTCTACTATATAAAACTAGCTAGCTACAATTACCTGCAACTAGCTGTACCTGAGGGTAAATAGGTAGAACATAATAAAGAGTTTAGAGCCCTTGTTGAGTCCTAGAATTTCTGCTTTGATTTCTTTTTTCTCATTTTCCATGTCTGTTCCTCTCTCTGTCTCATCTTGCTGTTACTGCCTGTTCTACTGTCTCTGTTATGAGTCTCTGTATTTAGGAATTGTCTTTTACTTTTTCAAAACGTACTTTTAAAGTAAGTTCTCTTTCATGATTTCAAAGGTTGAGTGAAATGAGAAAATGTACCTATTTGTTGCAAAATAAGTATTGCATAAGTGTGGCAAAAGTCTTATTTAAAGTCACAGCAGTAATGTGTGCACATTCCCAGAATCCAGGTTACTACGATATAACAGCTGAGGACATGTCTGTGTGGCACATTCCCAACAACTTCCCGCTGGAATTCTGGAACATGGAAGCTGCAGCCGTCCTCCGCTACCACACTGAAAACCGCTTCCTCAGCCTGTATGGAGGAAATCTCTTTCAGCTCTTCAAGGTAATTTAGTTGTCCAAAAACCGAACTTATAACCAGGGTAAAAGGTCACAAACCGCTAGGTATAAGTTACCTGTCAGCTAGTGTCTGTCATTAACAAGGTGGTACTACTGGATGGGTGATACTTTGTACAAATAATTGTTGCCATTGATCTCTTTCTTTGGGTGGTCTGTGCATGGGAAAAGGAAACTGAAAAATAAGTGTTTTTGTTTGCATTTCTTTCTCTTTCTGTAACACTTGAAGATTCACACAAAGAAAGAATATTGCACTTATGACGTCTTTCTGTCAAAATGTCCTGTTCAATTAAATTGATAGTGTTAAATTTAAGTAAATGGTAAGAAGATATCTGGCTGCACTCCTTCACTCCCTTCGGACACTTTTTTTGTTGTCTCTGTAGTCTTCTCGTTTTGCCTGTAGCTGTTCCACAGAAGCCAGAAATCACGTTCACACAGCCATACATGTTGATTTTTAAAATGTCTTTTCAAAAGCATTACATTTGTTTGCTTTTCAGTCAGAAACTATTTACAGATATGTAAATAACTCCAGCCCTGAGCCATTTCTAACCAGTTATAGCTGAGACTTCTTTAGTATAAAATAAAACAGTGGTTAAAAATGTTGTTAACAAACAAACCTGCAGATCTACACATAATAAGACTGTCTCATCTTTTCAGCAATATCCAGTGAGATACAATGTTGGGTCATACGGTGACAGAGGGCCAGCTATTCCCATCGTATACGACCGCGGGGATAAGCAGTCCACCAGAATGTTGTATGGACCCAATCCAAGAAGTAAGAAGATAAAAACTCCATCTATCTATCTATGTGTGTGTGTGTGTGTGTGTGTGTATACCATTATTGATGAATAGGATACACGTGGATTATCATCTATACTAATAAAAGGTTAAGTAAAATGTTTTTAAGTGTAGATTGCATCCCAAAGTTAATGATATTTTTATGTTTCTTGTTTGAAAGATGAGTTTGAACCAGGCTTCATCACATTCAGAGCAATAAACAATGAACGTGCCGCCATGGCTATCTGCTCTGGTGTCAAGCCGACTGTTGGTTACAACACTGAACATGTGAGTAATCAGTCATCACACATCTGCAGGCAATGAGTAATCACAACAAATGGTATAAATGCTTAATAATAATAATGCTTAATAATGTGTATGTGTTAGTCCTCATAGGGAAATTACTGAATTTATCAGAGGAACCCACCCGAGGGATTAATAAAGTTTCATCTAATCTCTAATCTTACTCCTTTGCATTTAACCCATTCACCCAGTGAAGCAGTGGGCAGCCACCAATGCAGCGTGTAGGGACGGTACCTTGTATATCAAAGTATATCCAGTGTACTGACAATATTTGTGTGTGTCTGTGTGTTTGCAGTACTGTATAGGAGGAGGAGGATATTTCCACCCTGACCAGTGTGGGGACTTCCCATCATTTGACTACGACAGACTGGGCAGGGAGCAAGGCTGGAGCGCCTCCAGAGAGATGACCGATGCTGCTGTCTTACTGTTTTACCGCTGAGAGGATTTGTGTACATGTAGCCTTTGACTAAAGTCTGTTCAGCAGTCCCAGATGTAACCAGATCAGGCAAAGTCAATTCAATTTCAATTCAATTTTATTTATATAGCGCCAAATCACAACAAATGTCGCCTCAAGGCG